GTCTCAACGCTTCGAGAGCTCGTCCTCGCTCTTTTCACAGATGTCGACGGACAAGCTCCGCGATCTCCTGGTCGAAACCGTCGGGTGGTCGGTGATGAGCTGGCAGGCCGCGCAGAACGACCCGCTGGCATCCAGGCGCGCATTCCCCGCCCCTCCCCGCTTATCTGGCATACGTTGCGCCCGAACTCGCCGGCAGAGGACACCGACCTGCTGAGATCCAGCTCTCGAGAGCTGGAAGGCGATTCCACCCGCCAAGCAACGAGGGCGTCCGCCGGCCGGCGGACCGCCATTGAGGAGCCCCCCTGTTCTTCGAGGCGGAGCTGCCCGAGCCCATGCCTACGCGGCTGGTCAGGCGGGGACGCGTGCCGCGAGCGCGCGCACCACGTGGGGCCTCGCAAGGAGGGCGGCGGCGCATCGACGTCTGAACGGCTTGGGCCAAAATGGCCACGGACGGCTACAAATGACCACTGAGCCTCCCAAGGATACCCCCATGGGAAGCGAACCTTCAAACGCCCTGAAGCGTTTCCATGCTGTTTGCCTTCTCGCCTGTTCGCTATCCGGTGGGCTTATGAGGCCTGACCTGAGTTCTAGGAGTACCCAGAGAGCCCCTCGAGGGGCCCCTAAATGCAAACTCGGCCTTCGCGCTCCAATAGGCCACCTATATGCGGCTTGTTTTGCTCCGACGGGGTGGCGGCCTAGTTGAGGACCGCCCCCATTGTGATCCATGGCCTTCAGTGATTCACGATGGTCCTTAAGCTCCAAGAGGGCCGGACCAGAGCCCCAAGAAAGGACATCCCAAAAACAGGAAAGAACTGCAAGAAAGCTCCGACTCAGCTACCGCAGGTTTCCAATATGCTCCAACAAATCTCTAATTGCACAATCGTTAGCTTTGTTGTTTCATTCTGTGCCTCTCTGACCCCTTCTCCAGACAGCTCGCCTGTGCATAGTTTCTTGATGGACTGGTGGGGGTACTTTTTCGTCTCGGCCGCGGCGAAGGCGCCAGCAGCGTCAGCAGAGTTGGCCAGGGCTACGACAAGACTGGAGGGGATACCTTTTTAGTCAGCGGCCGCGGGCGAGCGCGCCGGCGGCGAGTCACGTCAAAGCGGGCTACGCGGCGACGAACTAGGCGAAAACAGCGGAGACAGGCCACGCCAAACGCGGCTAACCGAGGCCTCGCGCGGCAACCCAGCGGCGGACCGGCGGGTGGCAAGGGCAACTGAGACTGAGTCGAACTGCCAGCGTGCAAATATGCATGGCGTCGGAAACACCAGGAAGTCGGGACAAACGACGACCCGGGTCGGAAGCCGAGGAATTAATGCATGGGCCCGAACCCCGGACAACTGCGTGAGCACCAAGGTGGCCGCAGCCAAAGGACCGCCAGTCGAGGTGGAATTGAAAATTACAAGAGCGAAGCCCCGGACGACTGCGTGAGCGTGAGTACCAGGGTGGCCCGAAGGACCGTCGGTCAAAGAATGAACGCCAGGAGGCGGAAGCGCTGGCAGGCTGCAACTCCCAGGGTGGCCGTAGCCGAAAGGTCCCGAGGCAGCAGAACGCACGAGTGCGGGAAGCAGCGGAGCCGCGACGCAGCCAAAATGGCGCGGGGCACCACGAACCAGTGCGTGAAGTGGCGTCAGGTTGACCCAACACGGGCCTGGTACCGGGCCACGAACTCAGAACTGGTGGGGATATTTTTTTTGTCGCGGCCGCGCAGCAGAGGGCACGCGGCGAGAGGGGGTCCGGGGCACGGGCCAGCCTAAATAGCTACTAAGCGACACGCAAGCCGGCCGGGCCATCACTCAGAAGCGGCAGCTGAAATGCAGCAGAGGCTGGTGGAACTGGATGGCTGGTCTGCAACGCCCAGGGAAGCTGATGCATCTTGCATTCCTGAGGCAGGGGTGCCAGCGGTGGAATTAGGAACTGCACGCTGGGACGCCTGTGCAACACAGTGCAAGTACCATGCCGCGAACTGGGGATACTGCGAATTGGTGGGGATATTTTTTTTGGTCGGCGGCTCCCAGGCGACGGTCTAGGAGCGAAAGCGGCGTCCGGGTGGCGGAAAGAAGCGAATTTGCGAACAGAGCCGCCAGCGTCGGCGGACAAGTTCGCACCCGCAAGACAAACTCGCAGTTGCACATGCACAGAACAAAACGAACTAAATTCACAAGCAAACGCACATAGGCGCAGCGACGTGAACCGAAGTAAACGGGCTGCCGGGAAGAATGTGCGGAGGCACTGGAGTGAGTCGCCGGGGCGACGCCAGACTCCATGCCGACCTGCACAAGCCGACCGGCTGTGCGGGGTAACCGAGATAGTGCGCGGGGGAAGACCAAAGGCTGCACAGGCGTTGCAGGCTGAACCACACAGCGCCCGGTCCTCAGAAATCCCACACACGGCGGGGGGGAGCCAGCGGCAGCCCAAGGCGCACCGAGTGGCCGAGACCTAAGCGAAGAGGCCTGCTGGCGTCCGAGACAGGGCGCGAGGGAAAACCAAAGGCTGTACAGGCGTTGTAGGCTGAACCACTCAGCGCCCGACCCTCAGAAACTCATCTCCCAGTGCCGAGATGCCAGCGGCCGCCCAAGGCGCAACTATGCTGCCAGGCCCTGAAGCGAAGAGGTCCGCGAGCACGCAGCACCTCCGTCGGGTGTTGGGGGTCGGCACATTGGTGGTGGAGACGCCTGAGCTGCCTGCCAGAGGGGGGTCCTGCTGAAGTGAGGCTGAAGTGGCCAGCCACCCCAGACTGCCGCGTGGCGCTGCCCATGAGCTCAAGCGCGGTCCCACACCAGATGTCTCCCCACGCCGTGGAAACTGACGCTGATATGGTCAACTGGTGGGGATACTTTTTGGTCGGCGGCTCCGAGGCGGCGGACAGGGAGCGGAAGGCGTCGTCTGGGCCAGCAGGCGAGGCTAATTAGCTACACAGTGGTGGGAATACTTTTTTGATCAGCGGCCCGCAAGGAAGAGTCCAGAGGGCGTGTCTATCGGGCTGACTGGGGCACAGACGTGGTGGGGATACGCGAAGCGTCAATTGTCGCTCGCATACAGCATCTCCTAAACTGGGCAGCCCCTTCCCTCTCCAGTCTACTCTTCAACCTCCCTTCTCCCACTCCTCGAGGTTCTCCCCCCCCCCCCCTGTCCCCCTCTTTATTCTCCTCCCCCTCCTCCTCATCCTTCACTTTTCTGTTCCTACTCCTGCTGATCCTCATCCCCTCATCCGCTTCCCTCCCTCCTCCTCCCTCCTCTGTCCTACATCCGTACCCGTCCGCTATCCGCCAGCCTCATCCGTCGTCCTGCGTCACAATCATCCTTCCTCATTGCGACCCGGCATCTTCCTGCTAATCCTCCTCACTCCTCCTCCTCCTCAACTTCCTCCTTTCCTCGTCATTCTCAGCCTCCTGATCTTCCCCCTTGCACTCGCATTCCTCAACCTCCTCCACTACCTACTATTTCTCTTCCTCCTCGGGGGCACGGAGCCCCGAGCAGAGAAACATGCACCACGACAGCGACGACGACAACGATGCAGATTACGACGCAAACGAGGAGCATTTACGCGCCAGCGAGACAGAGCTCTCCGTCCACAATGCACCCCACGTCCTCCAGGGTTCCAATGGCGGTCGACCGAGACAACACAACCTGGAAAATGGCAGAACCGACAATGAAATCGACACCGACCGCAATCGACAGGCCGCAAGCGGCCTCGAAGGGCGTAACGACGCAGCGACGACCCAAAAACCTGCCGAATTTTGGACACTCTTCGCTCATGCCTCGCTGCCTTTCCACATTGCAGCACTGACACTGCCGCCGCCACCCACTAATCAAGGCCACTGACGCAAATGGCGACGACAACGGCAGCGGCGGTGAGGAAGCGGAAATGAGGAAGGATGGTGGAATGAGGAGCAATGAGAAGAGAATGAGAAGGAGCAGATCAGGGAGAAGCAGGGAAGCCGCCAAGAAGTCACAACGTCGTGAGCCGAACACTGCAAGGACACTCACACCCATATTTGCTGGCGGCTGACATCATCTCTCTCTTCCTCTCTCCCTCTCTCCCTCTCACTCTATTTATCTGCGTGTAGCTTCTCACTGCCTCTTGAATAATGCATACTCGAACTGCCAGTCGGCAGTCGCGTGTGCGCTATCCCCATGGTCAGCAGATGCATCCTCCATCTCTGGCGTCGGTGCACCCTCTGAGCAAATGCTGCCCCACGGATATTCTACCAGCATCGCCTGCCCGGGGCGCTGGGCCACTCCACCAGACGAGATCGAGCCTCTCTCCAGTGTGAGCGCCGTTGGGCTACGTTACGCGTCCACTGAACCAGCATCGCGAAGAGAGGCTCAATCATGTTGGAGCAGACTCAAACAACACTCGCGACAACGGATAGTTCGTGGACTCGCAAGAAGTGTTGCGAAGCACATCTAAGCCCAAATGGCTTCGCATACGTAACAGGAGGAACTGGTCTGAGAAGCTATACACCAACACCAAATCCAGCCCGGCCCGTCCTGGACCCGCGATCTGTGTAGTTTTCCCCTGCGCGCCACGCCACGGCCAAGAGATCACTGCGCAAGGGTCAAGGACGGGCCTGGCCAGCCCTGGCGTTGGTGCAAAGCTGGCGTCCTTCTGCGACGTAGCGCGAGGAGGGCAAGACACGCAGAATGAAACCACACGCCACCACCACACCGCCTGGCCAGGGCCCACCGTGGGCCTGGGCACGGCGCACACGCCCTCCCAAGAAGTCCTGGGGCCAAGGATGGCCCAGGTGGCTGCGGTGTTGTTGAATGTGCTTGTGCATCCTGGGGGGGTACCCTCCAATGTTTTTCAGTTTGGCCGGCGGAGGGTGTCATGTTTTTGAAGGATGTTCTTCTGCCTAATGTCCGGCCGTTCTGGCAGCGGCAGCGGCCGGGGTCGTGGTGGCGTGCAGCGTCCGAAAACGAGGCAATCACTGCTGGTCAGCCTCGGTGGTTGCGAGGAGACTTCTGCGGAGATGAGGAGGTGCTCCGCGCCGTTTCTGGCCGCCCGGTCCCGAGCGGCGGTCGCAGACGCCGCCGCGGTGGCGGTGGCGCCCGCGGATGTCGCGGGCGTCGCCGCCCGAGATGCCCCGCCGCCGTCACGAGAGCGAGGGCGCCCCGTGCCGCACGGGGAGCCTGTCGGCAGCACTGCTGGCAGCCCCCCAGAGAGGCAGCAGGCAGCCCCCTCCCACTCCATCCAGACGAGCTTGAACTTGGTCCTTGCTGGGGCCGTCGTTTCTACAACCTCGCTACTGGGCTTGCTGCCTCTGGATGCGAAAAGTGCCTGGCGAGCACACGGGCCGATGCTACCCCTCGCCCTCCCCCCTCCCTCGTCCGCCTCTCGTCGTCTGCCTCCCCGGACTCTCCGCCTCACCGCATCGGCCCGAGCGAGCGCAAGAGCATGCTGGAAGCGCTGTCGGAAGCCTCCAGAGGCAGCAGGCACTCCTCGTCCCTGCCCCAGTCACCCCGCCTCTCGTCCTCTACCTCGTCCTCCTCCCCGCTCACCGCGTCTGGCCGAGCGAACGCAGAAGTCGACCTCAAAAAACGCCCAATGACATGCCAGGAACAGAAGGCAGCAGCTGTAACACGAAGGCCTTGAGCAAACAAGCGCATTTACACGACAGTCAGTCACAGAAGTACGTGGCTGTGCAGGTGTGCACTCAGAGTAGATTCGAGGGGCCAGCTCGGCCGCTTAGGCGGGGTCCAAAGACAGCATGGAGGAGGCGACGACGAGGGATGAAGGAGGCAGGGAGGAAAAGAGAGGAGAGATGGGGGGGAGCATGAGGGAAGTTAGTGAACGAATAGGGACGAGGGGGAAAGGAGAGCGAGGAGGAGGAGGAGCCAGGAACCCAAATTACCAAGCCGTGCGTGCTTTGGGTGGCGACTTGAGCTCTGCTTCCAAAGAAAAAAAAACGGGAGGAAGGAGGGAGCATGAAAGTGGACACATGACAGGCAAAGGAAGTCTAGGGGAAAGGGGCGTAGGAGGGATGAGGGCTGGATGAGGCGAGGGAGTAGGATGATTTATGTGGTGGAAAGAAACGGGGAAAGGAAACGAGCAAGGTGAGGAAGAAGAGCAATGGTTGCTCGCTGCGGGAGTCATGCTGTAATGAGCGTTGGTCGCACGGGCATTTGCCCGCTGCTTGCGCGCATTTAAGCAGAAGGTTCCACGGCGTGGTTCGGCATAAAAAGGAAGAGCGGGAGGACTAGGACGAGCAGGGGGGACAAAAGAAATGACGGCGCAAAACGAGAAGGAGGACGGGAGAAGAGCAAGGAGGATTAGGAGAGGAACAAAAGAATCCGGATCAGGATGAGCGCCTGTACGAAGAGAGGGTCGACACATCACGACATTCAATGCCGAGCAGTGGGTTTCATCCGCCTGTGCGGCAGTGCTGCGTTAGGCGGAGGAGGAAGTACATAAGAACATTTGGGCAGCTTGGCTTGTACAGCTTTCGCCGCACCGAATTGCCAGAGCACAACTGAAACCTGACATGTTTGTTTCGGGGCACGGTAAAATCGCTAGGTGGTTGCTGTAGAAGCTGCAGGTCGTAGCCGAAATCGCGCCCTGTTTCGCGATGCCAGCGAGGGGATAGTAGACAGGGATACCGAGGCTGAGGCAGAATATAGGACGCGTGGGACGACAATTCCAGGGCACAGCTTCATATGCTACTGGGGCGACCGCAGTCGAAAGCGCAAGGCCAGAAAGTCTGTGATGTGCATTCGATCCGCGGCGGTCAAGCTCCCAGCGGTCCACTTTAGGCACGGCCAGCGCACGGCTAGAGGGCCCGGGGGAGGATTTCTCGCACCAGTCTCCAGAGCTCCCGACGCCTGCCTGGTGCAGGGCGAACGAGCCACGACCGCAGGCGACGCCCGGTTGTAACCTCGAGCCTATCTGGACCAGCCGTGGACCTTGAATTTTGAGCCGCCGCTCACCAGCGACCGCGTCACGAACGGCACCTCGGTCAAAGCATCGGGCGAGATGGAACTGGGAGGCCGAGAGGGGCCGGCCGGCGCGACACCCACGGCGGACCGTGTCTGCTTACAGTACTGCACTACGGCCTGGCGACGTTGCCAGTTTTGATCCGCGGACAACAAGCGAAACGGCGCGGCTGCTGGCGCTCCAGCACGGTGCCGACTAAGTCGGGAACCTTCGGCAGCTGCGCGATGCGGCGCGCAGCCAAGGAGGCGAATCCAGCTTCCCGCACCTAGCACAGCGCAGGCCCCCGAGGAGGAGCAACGCCTGCTCGCGCGCCGGCAAACGCTGGCGACGTTGCGGGCACGGCGGCCTCGCGGAGCCTACGAAACACAAGGCGCCCAAAGGAATTGAGTATGAGCGAGGCGTGCGAGGGAAACAGTGGTCACGGAGGACGGCATCGAGGTGGGCGGCGAGGCAGAAAACGAAAGGAACTCTGACAGAGAAAACGAGTTAGGCTGGATATGCGACGTCTTGTGGTCACGCAGGCACGTGCTGAGTGGATAGCATTGCACGACATACGACAAGCAAGACATCACGGTGGATTTATGCAGTTGCGCGACCACCCTTGCAGATAACTGAAACTCCCCGATCCCCATGTAACGACTACACCATTTCTCGAATGGGGCTGCCCTTCCTTTACCCACAAATGCGAAGGTGGCCCCTGGCACCACCTTGGTTCTCGGGGCAACCTGGAAATCGCAAAATTAGGGCCCTTGGCGGAGCTCCAGACGGAAATGAAACTCAAGAGTTGCCGCCAAAACAGACCAAAGAGGAACGAGTACATACTTCAACTCACTGGAAACGCGCAACATTGAGCCTGAAGACTCAAGACCCAAGGACCAACGAACGGAACTCTGTACCGATGTCACCCACGCACGCTCCGGCAAACCCAAGCAGGAAATCGGGGAGCTCCCGCGAGGGGAGGCGGAACAAAGAATGGAGTCCAAAAGCCCACAGAGCCAGGATCACCCCTGCACTACCCATGACGGGATCGGCAGGGCTACCTCCCGTTGACCAACTACCTTGACATAGCCCATCATGAGCGAAAGCTGACTGGTGGTTGCGACTCGGTAGCCAAGCGGGAAAAGCGCTCCACCATCTCCAACGTTAGCCAACGATTCAGGCACGGAGCAGCCGATGCAACATCAAACCTGATACGCACGGGGTGCTCCAGGTCGGCATGTGGGTCCACGGATGCGAAACTTGTAGGCTCTGTTTCAAGTGTTGGAGTGTTCCATTACGATTTAAGCCCCTCATGTGCCAGACCAGTGGAGGACTCAGTTCCACTTCGCGGCCGAGGCGATCGCTTTTGCATCTTGATGGGCCCAGTGGCCGCGCGTGGTGCGGCTAGCGAATGCAGTCCACGAGGTCGTTGAGACCATCTTGGGTCGTGCCCTTCGGCAAGAAGGTGTAAGATCGCTGGGGTTCAGGCCAGGCGAGGAGGAGGAAGAGGAGGAGGACGAGGAGGGAAATGATGGGAGACGGGGAAGTGGAAGAGGAGGGAGGCGGGCGGAGAGAGAAAGAGAGAGAGGGAGAGAAACAAAAAAAGACAAGGAGAGATGACTGATGGAGGAGAAGGGGGGGGAAGGGGGATGCGTATAATTGAGAAGGAAAGGGAGCAGACGGACGATGAAGGAAAGGGATGGGATGGGAGGAGGAACAAGAGCGGCAAGGGGTAGCGAAGATGGAGCAGGATCGAGGATGACAACGACATAGACGAAACGAAGTGGAAGGAGATAAGAGGCAGAAGGAAGACAAATGAGGACGCGAGGAGGACAGCATAGGAGGAAGATGAAAAGGCCAATGAGGAGAAGGAGGAGGAACGAGGAGGATCATGAGGACAGGAGGAGGAGAAGGATATCGGATGGGAGAGGATGAACTTGAAAAAGAACAAACAAAAAAAGAGACGACGAGGATGGTGGAGTCGAAGGAAGATCGGTGCTGACGATGACGGTGACGATCGACCACTCCTCTGCACGAGTTACAAACCACATGAACACAGTGATGATATGGGATCTGGGCTGAAATCTCAAACAATGGAGAAAACTCGAGTGTATTTGAACCGGCAGATGTGTGCGGCACGGGGGCAGGAAGAGGAAGACGATGCTGGTGAAGGAGAGGGTGGCAGAGGAGGAGGAGGAGGAGGAGGAGGAGGAGGAGGAGGAGGAGGAGGAGGAGGAGGAGAAGGAGCACTAGTAGCGTGGGGGCCACGGTTCAGAGGAGGAGAGGGTGGCAAAGGTGGAGGAGGAGGAGGAGGAGGAGGAGGAGGAGGAGGAGGAGGAGGAGAGAGGAGGAGGAGAGCGGAGGCAGACCAGGACTGGCGTAGGACGCCCAGGGCGGAGCGACGGCGGGCGGAGCGACGAGGGCCCGGGGACTGCGGAGGGCACGAGGCGGTCAGAGAGGACCCGCCGCGCCTCCTGCGCAGACGTCCGCGGGCGTGCCCCCGCCGCTGTGGGGAGCGGCCACGGCGCCGCCCGCCGCCCCCCCCTGGCTTGGGGGGAGGCCGCGGCCGCCACGGCCGCCCTGCGGGGGCAGGCTGCCGCTGCGCGGCTGTCGCGGCCGGCGCTCCTCGCGGGGCGGAGAGCGGCGCGACAGCCGCCCGCACCCGCTCGGGGGGAGCAGCGCAGCCACCACCGTCGCGAGGAGGCAGGGAGCCCTCCTGGCGGTGAGGTCTCTCTGTTTCGCGGCGTAGCCCGTCGAGAAAGCTCCAGTCTCCAGCTGGGTGGGGGGAGGCCTCACGGACCCTCTCGCTGGAGGTGGCCCGCAGGTGACGGTGTCGCTGCACTCCTTCTCTGGACGCGGGCCCCATCCCCACACCCCACACCTCTGCTGGCACGAGCAGATCACCACGACTGGCGTGCACCCGAGATTTGGATCTCAAGAAGCCCGCTTCGGGCCCTCCAGAGACCGACGACCCAGGATGGAACACCCGTACCCTGGGATGGGGCCGGGAGGCCTGGAGAGGCCCACGTCACGAGACAAGACCATGGCGCACAATGTCTCGGCTGGGCCCCAGTCCTCGTGGACGTGGCCTCG